ACTTCAGTACAATTCCATATTCAAAGCAAGGAAACGTTTCGCTTTTAGCTATCGTGAGACGGAGCGAGACGGAGCAGCGTCTCTTCTTTGCCGTTGCGTCTCCTTTTGTTCCTTCCGTTGCTCCAAAGTCATTATCCCGCCTCAATTACTCTTCTCTTCGCTACTCGACGAGTCCTTTTGCCGCGTCGGGTGCGCCGCGCCAGAGAGATGGAAAATAAAAGCTGATCGACATCCGCCAGCCCAGGCGCAATTTCTCCCGAATAGATACCCAAGCGACCCTCGACAAATACGATAATGGGCATTTAGGCCAGGGAATAGAGAGATTCTGAATAGCGAAATCCTACAATCAGAGAGACGAGTTGTATCGCAGAAGAACAGTAAATGAAGAGGAGCAGAAATAGAAGGATTGGTAACCCGAGCGACGTCGCTTCTGCTTATTGGCTTCATCAGGCCCAAATGGACGTGCACCGAAAACGCCGAAGTGAAAACGTATGCCCATCACATCTGGATATGGGTGTAACTTGAAGTAAAACAAGGATGGAAAGGGAAATACAACTATGAGCGGTCAATAAGGAACAACAGGCAAATGACCTTGTGTTTACGCCATTGAGGCCAGCTTATCTTTCTGTGTATCTACTCGTGGATTTGAAGTATCACAAATGCGTCTGCTGTCTGTTGTTGGTAGCTTCTAGTTGTGTTTCCCTTGCCATCCTCATTGTCCTCCTGGATACACCGTATCAATCCTTCTATGTCTGCACTTGTTCCTTTAACGCGGATATGCCTACGATTGTCGTTTGTGTTTTCGAATGACTACTTACCTTTCTTTTTAAATACTGATGGTATAGACCACAGAAAATAATGTTCGTCCGGCATCCTCAATTCTCAACCAAATTTTATAAATGCAACCCTTAATCTTTGAGGTAAAGATAGACGAAAAACCAAGGTTATCTTTTCCTAAAGTTGCACCAATTTTGTGTTTGATCCTCCCCCGTTCCAACAATAAACGGATTTTATTTATTCTTCCCGCGACTCTACGACAATCCTGATTAGACTGCCTCAGGCATATTGCCGCTCACAATAAAGATACTTCCGATAAGTTTAAGCACCCTGTTTATCAAACTCCGACCGGACTTAATCCCCCGAACACGACATTGTGTAAGCAGTAAATATAAATAAGAGGCGAAGTTGTCACCCAAGGCTGTCGTAAAATACAACAGCGGTTCTTGCGGTGTTTCTGATTATTGGTTTACGAAATGAATTTAGCGGAAGAACATAAAGTTATACATACATGGTATCCTGAAAGTTGGGACTTTCCTTTTCAGAAACAACAACGTTTGTAATAACATCACCTCAGTTTTATACACTGAGCAAGCAAAAAAGAAAATCTTTAAAAACGATCTGCATGCACTCGCGAAACTCGGTAGCATTTCGAAGACGCTCACCAATAATATGGACAATTTCGATATTGCTTAAGAGTGAGGCAGTTCTTTTTAGAAATGTAGTGCAAAGGTTTTGTTTACAAACCTAACCTCGCTCTGTTGCTGTCGTCATGACAGTAACCAACTACAATCTTTCAGTTTGGACGAGTTGCAAACAGCAATATTGGATAATACTAATAAACCAAGAATTAGCGAGCCTTCAAAGCATGGCAAAACGTGAGTGAATTGCAAATAAAGATTGCGGTAGTTTAAGTTGACATTTTCAATGTACAGATGCTCTACGCCATATTCCACGCTCACTAGAATCCCAAACAACATGCTTGACTTCATATGAATACATGTATAACTTATTCAGTTTTACTTCCTATCACTAGTCTTCATGGTTCCTACAGTATATTCAGATAAGAGATAGACCGGATGTAAACAAAAGGTTCGGGTGATTTTCACGCTAACGCCGCCGTCTCGACGTAAATTCTCATTGGTCAATTCGCAATTAAATGCCTATGCCGAGCGGCAGAGCAGTCGTATCAAGGCAGAGTCACATTCAGGTTCAGACGTGTTACGTATGTCGTGTGCATCATTGCAATTTGATATTTCTTTGGACGTTTTCGTTTGTTATCTTATTAAGTTATTGAGTTTGTCGTTGTTATTGTTATACCTTGTTATTGATTGTTATTGTTATCAACTGCTTGCGCAAAATGCCCAGTAGTACAGATACTGCCGATGAAGTTGTAAACTCCTGTAGTCCACCTAGGAAACACTCTAAAAAAAAGACACCTGAGTGCAGAAATGAAAGAGGTCATTTTGAATATACATATAAGATCGAGCGCGAGGAGAACGAGGCATCAACCATCAAAGAAATTGTTGTGAAGGTTTCTCACAAAGTTGGGGTGTGTCGCGCATCAGTGTTTAATGTGTTAAGACAATACAAAAAAAATCACACCTTTTCTGAGCCAATGACCAGTAAACATCGCAAAAGTATTGTTAAATCATTGGATGAAGCTGATAAGCATGCGATTAGGAGGAAAGTGCATGAATTCTTCTTTAGGAATGAAATACCTACTATAGATAAAGTACTGCAGGAGGTAAATGGAGATACAACGTTGCCAAATTTCAAACTATCAACTTTCCATGCGTTACTGAAGCATTTAAATTTCAAATGGAAAAAACGGGGTCGTAATAGTTTACTACTGGATAGAGAAGAAATTGTGCTATGGAGGAGGGATTATTTAACAAAAATTGGGAAATATAGAAATCAAAACAGGAAGATTTATTACCTTGATGAAACGTGGGTAAACGCAGGACACACTACAAGTAAAGTATTGGTTGATGATTCTGTAACTTCATCCAGGAGGGCCTTTCTAGATGGACTGTCCACCGGATTAAAAAATCCAGCAGGTAAATACGAGTAATAGACAACAATCGGATGTTTTTCAAACCTTGGGAACAAGGTTCTAAACATTAATTCCAGGGGGCAGATAAAACATATTACAAGTAACAAAACTTTTATAACTTTCGATAAAATGCGTGGATGTTTTATTGTCATTTTCATTTGTTAGAACTTTTTTAAGCCATGTTTTTATGTGTTTTCGATTATTCAATAATTTTTTAATATAATCTTAAAATATGTCGAATATTATAAACTTAAAAAAAGTTACTAAATTTTATATTGTGTACCGTTCCTAATATTTCTAATCATTTTAATTCATACTTTCAGCTTTATAAAGTTATAATTTGTTAATATTAATATTTGCGCGTATTTCAGGTTCCTGATCATTCATTTTTTAAAGGTTTATAACTTTAAATTAAATTGTGAAGCGCTGAGTAATCATATGACGTTCAATATTCTTTCTTTCAATATGACTAAATAATCCCAATTATAGCAATCTGATACTCATGTCTCAATGTTTTTTCGCTGAATGTGATGAAAACATTTGAAAAAGGTTCGCTTATTGAAATAAATCTACACCAGTTAGTACTTCGATTTCCAGGTAAAAGGAAAAGGCTCATTATCTGCCATATTGGCAGTGAGGATGGATTTGTTGTTGACGGTCTGTGGTGCTTTGAGTCTAAGAAAACTGGAGATTACCACGAGGAAATGAATGGCGAATCGTTTGAACAGTGGTTTTCAAAAATTTTACCGAACTTAGAGGAAAACGCAGTAATTGTCATTCTCGAAGAATGGAGAAGGTCCCAACAACGGCTTCAAGGAAAGTTGATGTTCAAAATTGGCTCCGCTCGAAAAATATCAACTTTGAAGAAGCAATGCTGAAAGTACAATTATTAAGAATTGTCAAGGATCACAAGGCGGAATATCAAAAATACGCCATTGACGAAATGGCAGCAAGTCAAAATAAAAGTGTGCTCTGTTTACCTCCATACCATTGCGAGCTTAATCACATTGAGCTCATATGGGCAGAGGTTAAAAATTATATAGCTAAGCACAATACAACTTTTAAATTTTGTGACCTCAAAGGACTTTTCAAAGAAGCACTAGAATTAATAACAGCGCAAAAATGGGAAAACTGTATTAAGCACGTGAAAGAGAAAGTTGAAAAGAGAATGTGGGAACTTTACAATATTTTAGAGGAACAAGTCGAGACATTCATTATTGACGTTGGTGCTTCAGGCAGTAGCGATGATGAAAGCTCATCAAGCTCATCTTTCCAATAAAAGATGTCGTTCATCAAATTCGGTAAGTTATCAGTAATTATAAAGCTACTGTATTTTTTAATTAATTATTGACATTTTTGAACCCATTTTGGCAAAACCTATTCAAGAATCTACTTTCTAACAATGTTGAACCATGCACATTTTTTTACGTTTTGAACGTTTTAATTAGGTTACATATTTACCTAGACATCAAAAAATATACTAATCAATATTCTAAAAGCAATTTTAAGAGATATACGGTTATTTTTAATTTAGGCTAATTTAAACGCCATTTTGAGATTATATTCGACTGTATTTCACCAAACATCAGGCGGCATCCGAAGCTGGAAATCGAAGCGAAAATTTTGAAACCCTTATGTATATTTACATCATTATATATTTCTTACCTCACCCCCACATGATCCTATATCCATCACCAATCGTATACACATCGAATTGTGCTAATTTACTACAAAGTTACGCAAAGCAGCATCTACTATCTAAAATATGTACTGCGTGACTCTTAATACGTCCCTGCCGAATGTTACAGCGTTCGATGATCACGTGGTCTTGTTTATGTCCGGTCTATCTCTTATCTGAATATACTGTAGCTTATCACAATGATACTACTGGCGCCATCTACTAGGCGGTGGACCGACTACCTCTAACCCTACTTTGCCACAGTCTTCCCCATCACCTCTTGTTACAAGCGAAACTGATTCGCGCGCCTGCTTCAAAAATGTTGATAAAAATGATGAAGTGCAGCAGAGCTCAATTTGGGTATAATTATTTATCGAATAAAGTCAGTGACAAATGGCGCTCTCTCATTTCCGCTCACCGTTGTGACTAAACTGATAAGGAAGTTAAGAAGTTTAGCCGTAACTTTAATGATAATGAATTTGTTTCCAGGGCGAGCTGACACCCCCTCGACTGCCTTCTTCTTGGATATCGCCCCACCACTTCGTCTTCCAAGCAGACGACGGTAGCCTTTCTATACTAGACACTAGCAGGAATTTTTCAGTCACCATATTAGTTACTAATCATACCCTGGTAAGAACCTATGATTATTTATCTTCAAAAAAAATACAAAGACATCTTGAGTAGTAATTGGCTTCTAATAATAAAATTATTAAAGGATAAAGCATATTACTCTTTGAACGAATACTTATCAGATATCTTGATAGGTATGTGTAACATGACAGTCATTATCTTCATATATCATGTTTTTCTTTAATTCCATTTTTTTGTCTATTTATATATTTGAAACGGGACAACATTTTAATCTCTACCTACTACGTTATTTCAATGTTTGCTCTATTTCAACGTTTGTCTATTTTTGAGTCATATTTCAATGCCTGTTTATTTTTGTGACTGACATACATGTGTTACTTGCTTATTCATTTGCTGTATGTTTTTTGAATTTATCTACTGTAGCATAGCATCGCCGTGTTCTATATCATCTCATGTTGTTGTTACAGAATCAATAAAGTATCTGTACCAGCCCCGAAAAACCGGTGTTACTCAGGGTTCAATCCTCGGGCCACTACTTTATTAGTATTTGTTTACCGTATCAACGAAGGTTGTTCTCCTTGAAATTGAAACTCATCCTTGTGCAACAGTGGCTTACGATGACTTACAAAGTGACAGTGACAGAACAATTATATTCACAAAACAAACAATTCCACTGTTACTAAAAGCTGGTATTTCAATCACATTATCTCTCGTACCATTGTCAAATCCTTCGGTGCCATTCTGGTCGAAGAAAGGATAACCTATTAGGAATATACTGATATACTAAGTGACATGTAAATCCGAACACACAGTTTAAATGGTTTTATTTAAATAAAAGTTGGTGAATGTATTTATCTTACTGTAAATAACAAGTGAAAAAGTTTTCAGCCTTATCAGTTGGACATTCCGGTTTTTATACTGCTTTTTTTTAATTCACTAACGCTCTAAAAATGAATATTTCAGCCGCAGTAAAGAATCAACGTTGGCGGATTTTGGTTCTTGACATCCTTTACGATCGGTTACGATGCCTAGAGTACGGAGACCTGTACGATTTCGTCAACTTAGTGAGTTTGATAGGGGAAGTATAGTGGGACTTCGGGAAGCTGGACTTTCTTTTCGGGCAATTGCAGTTAGAGTGCAAAGAAGTGTAGACACTGTGGTTAGGTGTTGTCAGGCATGGCTTCGAGAAGGCCCTACGTAAAGAGCAAAGGGCACTGGACGCCGCCGTAGAACAACAGACCGTGAAGATCGCCGCCTAAGATTATTGGCCTTAAGGGACCGTTTCTCCACTACCAGGTCCATTGCAAATGAATGGTTTGCAGAACACGGAAGACCTATTGGCATGCGAAGTGTTTACCGACGAATGAGAAGTTTTGGCTTGTTTTCATACCGACCACACTGGGTCCTCCCTTTAACTCGAGAACACCGACGTAATCGCCTTGAGTGGTGCAGACAATGGTCACTCTGGGATCAGGAATGGAACAGTATTGTCTTTAGTGACGAGTCTCGATTTTGTTTAGGCATGCACGATGGTCGTGCCAGGGTTAGAAGGCGACGTGGTGAAAGGAGGAATCCACAGTTTTTTGTTGAAAGACATGTTCATCACACTGTTGGAGTTATGGTTTGGGGTGCTATAGCTTATGGTTCCAGGTCACCTTTAATCTTCATCAGAGGTAACATGAACGCGCAGCGTTATATCCACGAAGTTCTAGAACCCCATCTTTTACCCTATCTTGACACCCTGGCAGATCCAACTTTCCAACAAGATAATACCCGACCATATGTTGCAAGAGTCACAATAGACTTCTTTCAACATAATCATGTCACATTGTTACCATGGCCACCAAGATCTCCCGACTTATCCCCAATTGAGCACGTGTGGGATATGATGGGTAGGAGATTGCTCAATTTGCAACGTCCTCCTCAGACTCTAGAAGCACTTCGAGAGGAGTTGGTGGTTGCCTGGAATGAGGTACCACAGGAGGACATTGACCACCTGATCAGAAGCATGCCTAGGCGCGTTGGAGAATGCGTAGCACATCAGGGTGCATCCACACATTATGAAAGGTCAAAGGGCTTTAAAGCAGTGCAATCATTTTGAAATTTTTATCATTTACTTATTATGCTTCATTAAGTACTTATACAAAATTATATTAAAATAAAACCATTTAAACTGGGTGTTCGGATTTATATATCACTTAGTATATTTCAGAAATTTTCATATATCTGCAACTTCAAATTGGGATCTCAAAATTGGAATTGAATGACACATTTCGACTGTCAGTATTTAGCACGCGTCATGGTTGTATTTTAAACGTAAGAAATATGGTATTAGATTGTGGCTATAGTTTTTGTACTACTTTTTTCAGAGACAGCTGAACGTCAAAGGATACCAGTGTTCTAAAGACCTCAGCTACGTACTGTTTCAACATAATCTTAAATCAGTAAGTATCAGATTCATTCCATACAATTAAGTTACCATACATTAAGGCTTGTTACTATAAGACCTTGTCGTCTTATAAAAAATAAGATTTTCGGTTGCAAATATGTGTACTGGTTGACTAGAGGATTCGGCACAACTTACCCCTCCAAAAAAAGTTATCTGCGCACATGTAAAATAAAGGAATTAAATGAATCGAATCGTTCAAATAAATATAAATATAATTAATCGTTAGGCCCTATTTGGCAACAGAGCGGTGACTAAACGATAGCATCAGCCAGAGCGTGACAGGTTCCTTGTCTATATTCGTTGTGCTTACTCGGCGGATGTCACCGAAACACAATGTCAGCTCAGCGCGGGGATTGGAAAAATTTCTATAATCTTGTTTTGAGAGTAAATCTGCAGATAAATCTCTGTGAGGAATGTCTAATAGTCACATAAGCAGGATTACCGGGATTAGAAGTGTATAGTAAGGCTAAACAATTGAAATACACCTAACCTTACTCCCTGTAATCCTCTTCCCACCCAAACTCAAAATTTTTACTTTTTTACTATTTCCGTTCTTCGTCCGTAGCCACTATATAAAATAATATTCTTATTTAATAAAAAACCAGACTGACGCAGAAGTTTGATGGCCTTATATTTGCGTTTTTAAATTATTCCTTGTGAAATATTCAGGGTTAAAAACAATTCTCGAATTCTTTACCTTGAAGGTGGATTACATCTTTTCTCTGTGAATGTGAATATATACACCCAGTTTAAATGGTTTTATTTTAATAAAATTTTGTATAATTACTTAATGAAGCATAATAAGTAAATGATAAAAATTTCAAAATGATTGTACTGCTTTAAAGCCCTTTGACCTTTAATAATGTGTGGATGCACCCTGATGTGCTACACATTCTCCAACGCGCCTAGGCATGCTTCTGATCAGGTGGTCAATGTCCTCCTGTGGTATCTCATTCCAGGCAACCACCAACTCCTCTCGAAGTGCTTCTAGAGTCTGAGGAGGACGTTGCAAATTGAGCAATCTCCTACCCATCATATCCCACACGTGCTCAATTGGGGATAAGTCGGGAGATCTTGGCAGCCATGGTAACAATGTGACATCATTATGTTGAAAGAAGTCTATTGTGACTCTTGCAACATGTGGTCGGGCATTATCTTGTTGGAAAGTTGGATCTGCCAGGGTGTCAAGATAGGGTAAAAGATGGGGTTCTAGAACTTCGTGGATATAACGCTGCGCGTTCATGTTACCTCTGATGAAGATTAAAGGTGACCTGGAACCATAAGCTATAGCACCCCAAACCATAACTCCAACAGTGTGATGAACATGCGTTTCAACACAAAACTGTGGATTCCTCCTTTCACCACGTCGCCTTCTAACCCTGGCACGACCATCGTGCATGCCTAAACAAAATCGCGACTCGTCACTAAAGACAATACTGTTCCATTCCTGATCCCAGAGTGACCGTTGTCTGCACCACTCAAGGCGATTACGTCGGTGTTCTCGAGTTAAAGGGAGGACCCAGTGTGGCCGTTATGAAAACAAGCCATAACTTCTCATTCGTCGGTAAACACTTCGCATGCCAATAGGTCTTCCATGTTAGTGCGTTAGTGAATTAAAAAAAAGCAGTATAAAAACCGGAATGTCCAAGTGATAGGCTGAAAATTTTTTCACTTGTTATTTACAGTAAGATAAATACATTCACCAACTTTTATTAAAATTTTAATCTGGGTGTTCGGATTTACATGTCACTTAGTATATTTAGATTTGTATCGCTTCAGGATGACATTTTTCTACGAGTCGGATCTATTTAAATAGGAATTTCTCAACCAATGCCTATGCTGGTAAAAATTAATGCATGCATATCGAAACATTCTTTTAATAAATGCCTTAACATTCTATACACGGTATGTTTTGATTATTCAATGCAAAGTCAACATATTTGACGCCATATTTTGGACTAACTTGACCACCCCAAATACTTCGCTCCTCAAGAAAAAATTCAAAAATGATCACTAGTTTCTGGAATGTCTAAAAAAGAAGTTTGATCGATTTTTATTCTTTTCTTGCTCTTAGGTCCACCGCTACTAGACCGATCTTCAAAAACTATGAAACTTTCTCGTCCGTGGTACAGTACTAAACTTGTATGAAAGTTTCATCAAAATCCAACCGGTACTTTCCAAGCGATAAACGAGCCAAGGATTAGCGGACAGACCGATAGACAGATCAAAAATCGTAATACCTCATTTTTCCGATTTCAATACTTCCTCGCAAGCAAGCCTGGCGAGTAATTATTTCTCTTATTTGTTGCCCTTGATTTGTAAAAAACATACTCAGTTTTAGGCTTCCTTTTTTCTTTCTGGACATAACTGGGGGCTGGGTATTATAATATGCTCCCTGAAGAATTACAACAAGTAAGCTTGGACTATACAGGGTGTTTCAGTTTATTGTTGCATAACTTTAAGATTCGATAGAACTTTTAAGATTAATGCATAAAGTCTATATAAACAAGGGTCGAAAAATGCGTGGCTTCCGAAATACAGGGTGTTTAAATTTACTTTCTAAAATAGTTTTATTTAAATATTTCAAACAATATTTGATGTATAACAGAAAAAATTGATATACAAGGGTTTTTTGGTTAGACAAAACGAACCATGGGCGTAGTTTTACTGTAGCCGCTAGAGGGCGCTCTCTAATGTACCTGTAGTGTATTAAAATGACCGAAAAAATTTTCTTAGTGCAATTTTTTGCTTTTTGAATATAAAACTGATTCTTCGCACTTTTCAACATAAAAGAGCTCTCCTGTGAGTTTTCGTTATAGTTAGCCGTTTTTGAGATATTTCGATTTTTAAGGTTCGATGCAATTTTAATTATTTATGGGAAAATAATATTTTTTTTTAACATTTTCGATTTGAGCATTACAAGTAATTAAGATGATCGTTTTGATTGTGTTTTTAAACACAGCAATAATTCCTAATTCCAAATAAACACAAAAAACAGAATATTAATATGTTTAATTTTCCAATATTATTTTTAACAAATTAAATTAATTATTTACAACTAAAATGCTATTGGATAGTTAGGACAAACATACAAAATCTAAAGTAGTTGCTCGAAATGTAAACCCAATTGTTCAATACACAATTCACATCTACGAATGATCGAATGTGGTATAGCATTATTCAAATAAGGCCTTATTTCATCCCATGCATTCCTGATTCTGTCTATTAGCATATCTCTTGTGGTACGGGAGTCTGGTACACTTTTTCTTTTAGAAATCCCCACACAAAGAAATCTAATGGATTTAGGTCAGGGGATCGTGGACGCCAGGCGACTGGTCCACCACGGTCGATCCATCTTTCTGGATAATTTTCGTCCAGCCAGTTTCTAACTATTCTCGAATAATGAGCTGAACAACCATCAAGCTGGAACCAGGCCAATCTTCTTAAATCTAACATAACATCATCCCCATATTTGCATGTCCAGCCTTTAAAAATTCCAAGAAGGTCGCAGCATTTAACCTTGCAGGCAAAAGGTAGGGTCCAAATAGTCGATTACGGTAGATACCAAATCCACAGGTTCACACTAAATTCATGCTGAAAATTTCTTTGCCGAACTGCATGCGGATTTTCATGCGACCAAATATGTTGATTATAAAAATTTACCACCCCACGTCTAGTGAAGCATGACTCATCGGTCCATTAAACGTTACTTAAAAACTCCCTATTATTATCAGTTCTATCAAGAATCCACTGACAAAATGTGATTCTTCGTTCTCCGTCCCCTGGCTGTAGTCCCTGCACAGGTTGCAAATGGTAAGAACCTCTATGGTCATTTCTAAGAATACGGTGAACATGGCTTGCTGAAATTCCCAAGGCACCAGAAACTCTCCTAACACTTGTGGTCGTATCTCTATCAAACTCACGCAGAATCATACGGGTAAATCTGCGCTGACGAACATTTATGTTTTGATCCCTTTGGAGATTTCCAAAACCATTTTCAATTATTTGGCGATGCACTCTTACAAATACTGAGCGAGTTGGATGTCGTCTGTTTGGAAATCTTCGTACGTATTCTCTGGCTGCTTTTGCTGCGTTTCCATTTACAAAGCCATACACAAAATGAATATCCGCTAACTCTTGATTGGAGAATTGGCATTTTTATAAAACTTACAAAAAAAAACAGGTAAAAGAAACTAAATTTCGTGCATTCACAATTGCAAAAAACATTTCAGGTTTCAACAGACAACAAAGCTAACTGTCAACTAATTGACGTTGAACCTTATTCTGCTTTCAATTTCAAAAATATTTGCAGGCACAGCCTACTTCTAAAAATTATCAAGATACTGACTTTTTAACGTTATTTTATCATAACTAATTAAAAATGCATCGAACCATAAAAATCGAAATATCTCAAAAACGGCTAACTGTAACGAAAATTCATAAGAGAGTTTTTTTATGTTGGAAAGTGCGAAGAATTAGTTTTTTTATTCAAAAAGCAAAAAATTGCACTAAGAAAAAATTTTCGGTCATTTTAATACACTACAGGTACAGTAGAGAGCGCCCTCTAGCGGCTACAGTAAAACTATGCCCATGGTTCCTTTTGTCGTACCAAAAAGCCCTTGTATACCAATTTTCACTGTTATACATCAAATATTGTTCGGAATATTTAAAAAAAACTATTTTGGAAAGTAAATTTAAACACCCTGTATTTCGGAAGCCACGCATTTTTCGCCCCATGTTTATATAGACTTAATGCAAAGTTATATCGAATCTTAAAGTTATGCAACAATAAACTGAAACACCCTGTATGTCTCGATATAGCTTTTTTTGAGTAAAGTGTCTATTCTGAAAATGAACAAATATTATTATTAGTATTATTATTAATATCTTTCTTATAAATTATGAAAACGACGTAGGTATGACATCTCTAAAGAGTCTTTGTTATAGAAACAAATCAAGTTAACTTAACAATATAACTTTTTATTAGCAATTTTC